TGAACTTCCACAGATGGCAAGCCCTGGCCTTTTGAATGGCTGTGTGTGCACGTGGTGGTGTGAGCAGGAGCGTGTGCCATTGAAAAAAATGGGACTTAAGGTCCTGCTTTTCTGCTATCTGCGCGGGGGGGTGGTGGTGGTGGTGGTGGTGGTGGTGTCCAGAATGGATTCCCTATGGATAGCAAGGGTACACTGTATATAAATTTTGCATGTAACTCTAATTAGAATACAATTTAGAGTTTTGGTTACTGAATTTTTTAAAAAATTGTAAAAAGTGCAGACAGGGCAACCCAAATTATTAAGGGCCTAGAGCAACTCCCTATGAGGAAAAAGTACCACATTTGGAAGTGATTAGCTTTGAAGAAAGAATAAAAGGAATATCATAAATATACATAATATACATTTGAAAATGAATTCTCCCCCACCCCACTGGCATTGTGCTGACAACACTGGGTTGAAGTTTTCTTTGAGCAATCTACCACAAACCCAAAATCCATTTCCTGCTCAGTTACTGCCAGCCCAGACTCTATCAGCATATATGTGCACAGTTAGGTCCCTCCCCTGCCCTATGAATCACAGTTCCTTACAATGAATCACATTTCCCATTTGAATGTGCATCTCTCCCTCTGTGGACAACTGGTCTGCACTGAGTTAAGGCTGGTCTTTTTATGTGCCCCAATATTACAATATTCTTCACTAAATTTATGTATGTGATGTTACTCTTAAATACATGAGATTTAAAGTAGAAGTACAATTACATAAAGGAAGTGGGCCTTAAAGTATGAACTAGAAAGATTTTCACAAAATACACTGGCGAACTGTAGAAAATGACAAACATTCATGTCAAACATGGATTGATCACCCTACAGCTGACTGTTGTTTGAGGATATTACCAGCATTGTTTTAAATTCACAAATATTAGGATTCCATATACTCTTCAATGACACAAATGTTTTATTTTGCCTTATAACTAAAATGGTAAATTTGTATACAACTTGCAATGCTTTACACAATAACTATGGGTCTTAAAAGTTCACACAGTCAACTTTTATTTTCAGTGGAATATATCAGATTTTTACCCATATGAATCATCATCACCATGATTTATTTATATAGCACCATCAATGTATATGGCACTTTACAAGTAAAACAACAAAAAAAGCCGCCAGCACCACCAAAGGTATACAATCTAAAAATTATATACATGGGGAGGGGGGGAAATGGATCAGTTTCAGTGAGTAGCAATTGTGTAAGTTACACAATGACTTACACTAACTTTTTCCATTATGGTATTTATGATATTTTGAAGAGGCAGAATGTCCATTAAATTTGCTTCTATTCTGAACAGTTTTTAAATCATATAAAAATCACAGCCCAACTTACTTTTTCTGGGAGGGGCTTATCAACCTTTGGAAGACCTGGAACATGACACAAAAACTCGAATTAGAAAGGGGAAGCCCCTTACCTATTGCGAGAATTCTTCCTAAGTGACCTTTGTCTAGCCAAGTACTAGGTGAGAGCACTGGAAATTTAACTACCAATGCACAAGAAGTTCCATATTGCAAAAGGACCCAAGCTGTTTGAAGCAGAGCTATTACTTACTCCCCACAGTTTCTATCTTTTAGTCATACAAAATATTTTTCCAAAGAGGGAAGCAGTAGGTATACTTGACTAGACAATGACACTTTGGAAGAACTCTTAATTACGGGGAAGCAACCTCCATTTCTCATGGAAACTGCCCTATACAATCATGGACCTGGGAAGATAAAAGTAGTATCGAAAGAATTAAGAGTTATTTCACGCAAATCACTACTAGAAACAACAGATTCTGTTGTTCAGAAGAAGGTAGGTTCAAATGAGGCCTCATGAGTCTGCAAAGTGTATAGTGGAAGATAGTATCCAGAATTTTGACAAAATAAATTTGTATCCTAAGATTAAAATATGAGACACATCTCTGTGTAATCATCCAATAGAAAATAATCTGCTCCACAGATTTTCACATTTCAATGTGTACACTTCACTTACTTCACTATAGAAACACACACATTTACTTCACTATAGAAACTTGATACAGCATTTTGTCCCCAACTGACACAATGCAAGCACATAATTTAGCCTAAAAAAATTAGTTTTATGACAACAAAACAGTTAAGGTCACACATGAGAAGAAAATAAGCCTATATTTTCCCGATACAAATTATACTGCACCAACATCAGATTTAACTCTACAGAGGATGGAACAAAACTAAGAATATCTGGGTGCAGAACCTTGTTCTAAAGACATCTCTGGAAAAGCTTTGAATTACAAAACCATTCATTATCTCTACTGAAAACAGCATAATGAAGAACATCCACAATCCTTCTCATCTAATATTTTTTGTTGTTGTTAACTGCCTTCACGTCTGTCTCGACCCATGGCGATCCTATGGATGAGACATCTCCAGGCATCCCTGTACTCTACTGCTCTACCCAGCTCCTACAAACTCATATTCATGGTGTCTTTAAAAAAGTCCATCCATCTAGCATGTGGCCTTCCTCTCTTTCTACTTCCTCCCGCCTTTCCTAACATTGCCTTTTCCAACGATTCATGCCTTCTTATGATGTCTCCAAAGTACAACAGTCTAAGTTTTGTCATCTTGCCTTCTAGGGATACCTCTGGTCTGATCTATTCTAGAACCCATTTGTTTGTCCTTTTGGCTGTCCATGGGATCCTCAG